TTATTTATTTATTTTTGGTCTTTTTGAGACAGGGTCTCCCTGTAGTCCCAGCTGTCCTGGAACTCATAATGTAGACCAGGCTGGCCTTGAACTCACAGAGATCCGCCTGCCTCTGCCTCCCGGGTGCTGGGATTTGCCACCACGCCTGGCAAAATTTATTTTTTATTTTATGCATATGAGTGTTTTGCCTTTGTGTACACAGGTGCTCCCTGTGCATGCAATGCCTGCAAAGGCTAGAAGAGTGTGTCAGATCACCTGGAATTAGAGTTATAGATGGTTCTTAGCAGCCATATGGGTGCTGGAAACTGAACCTGGGTCCTCTGGAAGAGTAGTCAATACTCAAACACTGAGCCACCTCTCCAACCCCTCTCCTTGCTTAAAAAAAAAAAAACATTGAGACAGGGTCTTGTCATATAGTCCAGGCTGGCCTCAAATTTGGCAATTCTCCTATTTTGATCTCCCAAATTGGGATTATAATCCCAAATTGGGATAATATCATGGGCCACCAGGCCCAGCAGTTTCTTCTTTAACAACTTCAGTACCTTTTCTGGCATCTACTACTGTCATCATCAATTACCACTCCTCATCCCGATCCAATGTCTTTTTCTTTTTTGGTCTTTTTGAGACAGGGTCTCCCCATAGCCCCAGCTACTCACAGAGATCTGCCTACCCCTGTCTCCAAAGTGCTGGGACTAAAGGTGTATGCCACCACACCCAGTCCCAATGTCTTTTCTTAATAGTCACCTTTCTCATCTTCTCTTTATTTTTTTCTTAGCACAGGTGTGGTCCTTTATGTATGCTAATTCTTGGGATTATAGGGGCATATCACCACATCTGGTTTCTATAATGCTGGGGATCAAATCTAGGGCCTCATGCATGTTAGGCAAGCACTCTACCATAAACTGAGCTACATCCCCAACCTGTTAGCTTAAAAATAAATATATGTGTGTGTATGTGTGCACGCACATACATGAGCATGTCTGAGGAGGCCAGAAGAGGAAGCCAGATCTACAGGTGATTGTGAGTCACCTGATACAGGTGCTGGGAACCAAACTTCAGTCCTCTACAGGAGTAGCAAGTGCTTTCAACTCCTGAACCATTCTCCAGCTCTTCCCTGTTAACTTTCAACACTTCAATAGCCACTGTTATGATGAGTCTTTGGCTTCAAGGCTCGGGTGGCTTTTTTTTTTTAATGGTTTATACTGGGATATTTGCAATGGCTTATATTTCAAACTCACAATCTCTCCCAGAGTGAAATGATTCCCTTGCCCAATATTCCCCTTCCTTCTAATGTCAAGTATCACAGAAGGGGTGAAGAATTACACAGAACTGGATCCAAGTCTGGTTCTGCCACGTCCAGCTGATGGTCTCAGGTAAGTTAATAGTGAAGGTCTTGGTTTCCAAATCTGCGAAATGGGGGTGAAAAGCTACTTTCTAGGGGCATTACAAGAGCTAAATTAAACATTAAATCAAGCTCTAAATAAAAGGTTCTGAATAAAGATTAGTTCCTCCTTCCCTGCTTGAAACTTCTATCTAGATTAAAGACATTGCAATTATTGGTTAAATCGCTTTTGTGGTTTGTAGATACCTAATTAGCCATCAGTCATAGCATCTAAAACCTGAAATTTTATTTAAAACCTTGGTTTTTTTTGGTCTTTTTGAGACAGGGTCTCCCTGTAGTCCCAGATGGCCTGGAACTCACTGTGTAGACCAGGCAGGCCTTGAACTCACAGAGATCCACCTGCCTCTGCCTCCCAAGTGCTGGGACTACAGGTGTGCGCCACCACACCCAGATAAAACCTTGGTTTTCAATAGTCCTCTGTGAAGCCTTAAGGACTTCCCAGCTTCACAGTGTCACGGAGGACTGGGTTCCAAGTGTCTTGTTCTTGGAGCTGCCAGAGAAGCTACTGTTATCCTGGCCTTATAGGTAAGGCATCTAAAGGAGTTGTTTCTTAATAAAAACTGTTCCCCAGCTTCAGACTTGGAATCAAAATGACGACCAGTTTTCACACTTGGCAAATGAGTCTAAATGTGAAGTGGTCTCTAGCCCTCCAACTGCTGTACTTACTACTGCACTTACTGCTCCAGGATCTTACCACACCTCTGGAAGACTCAGAGAAGTCTGTCCTGAAGCACAGTCCCATTTATCAATATTAAATGGCCCCTTATCTCTGCCAAATTCCTGCCTAGCTTTGGGGTTCTAAATAATCAGGCCTCGGGCTTTGCTTTTCTTACTACTCCCCTTCGGTGTCTTCACTTCAGATCTGTAGTCTCATCTCACTGTGCTCCTTCCCCTTTCCTTGGTCCCACTGTTCTGTTGTGCTGTCCTGTCTTCCATCACACCCAAATCCTCTCCGTTCTTTAAGTTTGGCTCCAGCACCATTTCTTTTGCGAAGCTTTCTTGATTACTGCTCTTCCCTGGCTTCCAGCCTCAAACTTCTATTATTTTTATAACCAATATGGTTAATCTCTATGCTCTTATGGGTTCCAGTGTATAGGTCATTTTCCTAACAGGATCTTAAGTTTGTAGCCATATTCTGTACTTTAATATTTCAAATTAAGGGACTTCATATAACTCTAAAATAGTCAATAAATTACCAAACAAGCTGATTCTGTCCCAGATTAAATTCTCATTCATTCTCATTTTCATCCTCTCTTTTCCTCTCTTGCTCTGTCTTCACTCCCACTTCTCTCCTTCTCGCTATTTCTCTTCTCTGCCTCTAAGGGCCCATGAGCTTCATGTCCTAAGAACACATTCTGGATTTAGGAATCACCAGCCTTCTCAAGCAGAGCCCTAACCATCACCATCACATGGTTGAATCCATGCTCACCCTAAGATCCAGTCTCTTCCCTGTGTCCCAACCCCCAAGCCTGGGATGGGCCTGTCATAGGAAGGCTTATCTAGTTTGGAAGATGGGCGTTAAACCCTCATTTCTACCTGTTCACTGGTGGCTGGTGTTTCTAGGATTTCAGTCAAGGTCTCTCCTGGCTGGAACCGGATGACATCCACAATTAAACGTTTCGTGCTGAAATGAGATGGGCAAGCATTTCAGTGAGGCTGTAGGCTCTGACTCCTCTCCAGTGACTAAGACACAGCAGCACAGATGCCTGTCTACAGCAGTCACAATGGCAGTTACTGGCACAAAGAACTGGTACTGGGGGAGGATTTCTAAGATTGTCATTTTATCATATTAGCAAAATAAGTTCTGTGCCAAGTTCAATATGTGAGGTGACAAGAACTATGCTGGGTGGGCATGAAAGGCTGGGCTGGTAAAACCCAGCAGCTCCCTCACTGAAGGTCCAGGGTCTTTGTATTTATCTATGTCCTTCTCCCTTTCAATACTCACTTCAGCAAGATGGTTCGAGCATCCATCTCTGCATTCTCATCTCCAGGCACATCAAACTTGTTGGTCAATGTGAGAGATACTTCTGTCTTAGCCAGCGCCTCTTTACTGGGGTCGTTTAAGCTGCCACAACTTTCCCCTGCAGTTTTGGGAGGGTAGAAAGAGTCAATGCAATAAAGACACTTTAGAGGGGAAATAATACAAATATGATAGAGGTGTAACGTGAAACTTGGAAAAAGCAACATATATAGTGTGGCAGAACACATTTTATTGAGAGGTCAAAGAAAATATTATGCCAAATGACTAGGGAAGAGAATCCAGGGGCTGGAGAGACGACTCAGTGATTAAGAACACTGGCTGTGCTTGCAGAGGACCTGGGTTTGGTTCCCAGAACCCATATGAGAGCTAATAACTGTCTGTAACTCTAACTCTAGTTCCAAGGAATCTGATGCCCCCTTCTGATCTCTGTGGCCATTGTACACACATTGCACACTTACATACATGCAGGTAAAACACTCATATACATAAAATAAAAATTAAAAAATACTATCACATTCCAAAAAAACCCCATAATACAGCAATTTCATAAATGTGTGACAAATCATTGCAACAATGTAATATCACAATTCTCTTTCAAAATACCCTTTACTTAGCCAGAAGGGGTGGTGCATGCCTTTAATCCCAGCACTTGAGAGGCAGAGGCAGGTGGATCTCTGAAAGATTGAAGCCAGCCTGGTCTACATAGTGAGTTCCAGGTCAATTGTGGCTACAGAAAGACCCTGCCTTAAAAAACAAAACAAAGTAAAACAAAAAAACCTTTACAGTTTGAAATTCTACATGATTATTTTTGTCTTTGTATTTGAAAGGATCTGTTTCACTGGACTCAGTTCCTAATAGACTGGGCCTATATATATATATTTTTTTTCCCCAGAATATATCTAGAATTTGGTACAGTACAAAAACAGACAATGACAACTCTGCCCTGTCATGTTCCCCTCCCACCTTCTGAAAAGGAAGAACATTACCTATGAGGGACTCGATGGTGGGCACCTCACCGAGGTCATCCAGCAGCTCATGAATCGGGTCATTATGCTCTGGAGCAATGGCATCCTGATGATCTAACAGGAGCTGCAAAGATCCAGTGATCAATCTTCCTTTCACCCCAGTCCTCTGTCCCCACCCACAAAGCTCAGCAGTGATCTGTACAAGAGGACAAACTAATCCAGTAAACAGTATGAGGGATCAAGCAGCACATTGGGCCCCACAGAACAACATACACTGTGACCTGGTCCTCTCTTCACATCCTTGCCATAAGGGATTCAAATGCTCCCCATGTAAAAAGGCAACAGAGCATACAGACCTAGTTAAATTCATCACTGAACCCTACAATACCAGTGTAACAATTCACATTTATATTTGTCCTAGGTACATAGCTCGTTTGTTCTGTTTTGGGTTTTTGTAGTGTTGGAGATTTGAACTCAGCCTGTGTATACTCTCTTTTTACTTAGAGGAGAGCATACTAGATCAACATTGCCACTATCTTTGTGCTATGCCACAGACCTCCAGCATGCTAGTATTCCAGGTAATGTACTCAGAAAGGACAGAAATTTCATCAACATTTCATGTAAGCCTTTATGTATACATTTCTTGTTTTACATGTCCCCAAAGGGGGAAAGAAATAGTTTGAAAAACCTGGAACAATGGAAGTTCCAGCTGCAACCACAGAAGAAGACTGTGTGTAATGATAAAGCAGAGGGCTGGATAAGGAACAGCAAAAACTCCATTCTATGAAGCCACAAGTTCAGTGCTTACAACACACCTTTTGGAGCCCATTCCTAAGGATTCTGGGTCAGGACACCTGTGTGTGTGTTTGTTTAGGAGATGAGAGGGTTAGCAAACACCATTTTCCAATACCAGCCTGGATAATTAGGATACAGCCTGGATAACAATACAGGTGGCCTGGGGATAATTTGCAGAAGCTAAGCGGCAGATATTTCGAATACTAAGCAGGGCTGGGGTACAGACCACTTTCCTAGTGCACACTAGGCCCTGGATTTGATTCCCAGCATAACAACCAAAGAAGAGAAAAAAACAGATTTGGTGTCATTAAGATGACAGAAAGACGAGCTATGTGATCATCCAATAGTGAGCTGCTAGCAGTCAAGGAGGGTAACTGATGTAATGAAATTAAGTAAGAAAAACATTTACAGTGTGGGTGTTGATGATTTCACCAATGGAGATGTAGATAACTGGTTTGGTGAGGGTGACTAGATCAGAATACTCATCCACATTAAATTTATCCTGAAGCTCGGGGACATCACAAGCAGTTTGGAAAAATCGTCTGAAAGGAAACACCAATCAGTGACATTCACATAGAAGCCAACAAAAGGACAGTCCCCAAACCTTTCATACAAAAACCAGTCAAGACAATTACACCTAGATAAACTGTTACGTTTGTTGTTAAATTGCTGTTTGGTAGTCTTGGGATACTGATAATCAACTTTCTCTGTCCAGTTTTAGTCCTACCCACAACACTCAACTACAACTTAAAACAGTTCCCAAACACCCCTAAGAAATTGCTCTGAGGTACACAATTAAAAAATTAATGTTAATTTACAAATATACAAAGCACTCTCTGGTTTTTCTCTGCCTACAGAGTGAACAGGGGCTTAATGCATAAACATCACTTTTACATGAAGTGCTATCTATCGCATATTCAAATTATCTTCATAACAAATGCATCAATTTCTGGAGCCCCTTGCCTTTCAAACATGCATCCTACAAGCAGTCCAGGGAAAGTGGTAGGTGACATTTAAACTTGTCTTTCCCCTCAGAGATTAAAAACATAGAATCTTTTAAGTATCTTCTCCCTTTCCCTTTACCTGAATTTCTGGTAGGACTGGGAAAGATACTCATTAATGATGCTTAAGTGGGCATTATCGCCCAGGAACATCTTATTGGAAGCCGCATGCTGAAGCATCTTTGCAATGGAGCCCAGATTTCGGCGCTGGTCTGTGGTAAGCTGGCCCCCTGCTGACAGGTCAATGATGTCGAAGGCATCAGGTGCAACGATGGCAGGGTTCATGTATCGATAGTAAAGCAAGTTACCAATAATCTGAAACAGAAACACAGGTATGAGAGACAACAACACTGAGGGAGTCACAGATGACTTTGCAAGCAGTGAAAATAAGAAAATGCAATCCTGTGAGGAAAAGGTAAACTAAAAACACACCAACATGCAGACATGCATGTATGCTTTCTTTTAAGACCTAGAACTCAAAAACAAAAAAATTTTTTTATGTAGGGAGAATTAAAGAAAACTGAAAATGATTGTCAAGAGAAATGAAAGAACAGATTCAGAAAGTAAAAGTGACATTTGAAGTGTGTAACCCAACATGTCAGGGTATCTCCTGTTCACATGTTATGGTAGCAAATAAGGTACCTGTCATCCACCTGTGCCTTACACAGGTAGGCTTTATAGAAAATGTAAACCCTTAAGCATAACCTATTTAGCAATCTGTCCAGCCCCACCATCCACATGCCACAGATTTCAAAGGCCAAGTTCATGTCTTTGAAATGAAATCCACTCAACACACATCTCTTCCACAGAAGTAGTCAAGGATAGACACAGCATTTCCTCTAGAGTTTCAGAAAAAATAAAATTAATTCACCTGAACAGAAAGTCTAGAATCGAGGCCTCACTGTAGGAAAGCACAGAACTAGGAGAGAGAAGAAAAAAGCGTTCAGATTAAAAAATAAAAAATAAATAGAAAGGAGCACAGCCGAGTAAGAAAAGAGTTCCCAGCAAAGCCTCAGCGGAACAACTGTGTTTGCTATTATTCACCTGGTCACCAGTAGAGGGAACAATTCTTCAGAGAAAAGATAGGACCCAAGACAGGAAAAATCTGGCTTCCTCTACTTGTTTAGTATACCTCTGTGCCATTTGAATTGAACAGGAACTGTTTCAGCATAGGAGAGCTACCATCTCCTATTTACAACTGTTTTCAAAAGATCACAGTCAAGGACAAGCTGAACCAAAGCTGATGCTCAGGCACCCCCTGACAGTCTATGGTCAGGACTAGGTTCATAACTCCTTCCTCAAATGGCTATGAAAAGGCAGGAACCTATCGGCTTTCACTCTTACCTTCAGCAGTTCATCCTCACCAGCATCGGGAAACTTCTCATGCAGGGAATCCTTTAGCACTTTGGCAATGAAGCGCATCCCGTAACTGTGGGATGGACAAAACAGAGTGAAACCAGAGCTGCAGAGCGGAACACCAATGCCAGGTTCTATATTGGAGGGTGGGGGGAGGGCAGTTTGTCACAAATGATGGCACTCACGGGATTTTGTCCACAGAGCTAATGATGGCAGAGAGGAACTTGTCCGTCACAGCCCTCATGTTCCTGATGGAGTTATCTAGCCTTGTCTTCACTTCTTCATGAGTCAGAGCCTGCTCAGGGGTCACATCATAAGGCAGTTTGCTGGGAAAAGAAAAAGGATGACTAGCCATGTTAGACCACTTACAGAAACAGCCTAAAGTAGGAACCATGCATTTCATAAAGAGCTGGTAAGCAGAAGGTCTAGAACTTGAACTTGAGTTTTTGACCGTGAATTTGGTGCCTTTAGTTATGTGACAGACATTCTGATAAGCACTTAGCAATAAAAGGTAAATAAAACATTGTATCTCCCCTTGAGGCTCTCATATGTAGCAGGCGAGGCATACAAGCAGGTTAATTAGAAACACATCTTATGGGCTAGAGGTGTAGCTCAGGGGTAGAGTACTTGCCTGGCATAGCCAAGCTCCTGGGATAATCTCTAGTAATGAAAAAAAGATGCTTGTAAAAGTTGACTAGAAGTGCTGCAGACCACTGGAGGAAGAAAGGAAGGCTCCCGAAAAGGCAAAGACATCATCACTTGGGAAAAGATGAGGGATATTCTAGAAGAAAGGTCATATACCAAGAAAGAAGGAGAAGAGAGTGGGTAAGCTGAGATCAGGCCCTGGAGGACCTTGCACATACTGCTAAGTCTGGACTTTCTTAGAAGCCAGAAGTAGCCATTAAAAAGATTTCTGGGGTAGTGAGATGGCTCAGCAGGTAAAGGTGCTTACCAAGCAAGCCTGGAGACCAGAGTTTGATCCCTGGAACCCATGTAGAGGTAGAAGGAAGAGAACTGGTTCCACAGAGTTGTTCTCTGATCTCCATATGCCCTCTCTCACCCACCACACACACACACACACACACACACACACACACACACACACACACACACACAAAAACAAAAACAAAAACAAAAACAAAACAAAAAACAATAATAAGTTCAAAAGTTAAGAATTCTAAAATAAAGGTACAACAGTAAGGACCAAGAAGAGGAGATACCACAGACACTGAAGAGAATCAACACAGTCACATGGCTTGGTGCTCTTTGGCTGCCAGAAACAGAACAGAAGCCAGAGGCCCTGAAGAACTTACTCAAGGGCAGGGCACTGGGTCAGTCTGTAGGAAACGGTATGAGAGGCTGAGGATGTACCTCAGTTGGTAGAGTGTCTTAGCACACAAAGCCCTGGGTTCTATCCTAAGCAATGGATAAATCAGACATGGCGATGTATCTCAGGAGGTGGAGGCAGGAAGTTCAGGAGTTCAAGATCAGGGCTGGAGAGATGGCTCAGCTGTTAAGAGCTGGCTACTCTTGTAGAAGACCCAGGTTCTGATCCCAGCACCCACACGATGGCTAACAGTTGTCCATAACTCCAGTTCTAGGGGCTTCAAGGCCCTCTTTTGACTTCTGTAGGTATTTTACAACACAAGTGCACTGACATCCACGCAGGCAAAACATTCATACACATAAAAAAATACAATTTTTTTAAAAAACAGTTCAAAAGCCAGGCGTGTTGGAGTATGCCTTTAATCCCAGCACTCGGGAGGCAAAGGCAGGCGGATCTCTGTGAGTTTGAGGCCAGCTTGGTCTATATAGCAAGTTCCAAGCCAGCTGGGCCTACAGGGAGACCCTCCCCCCCCCAAAAAAAAATTAAAAAAAAAATAAACAAATAAAATAAAAAACATCCTCAGCTGTATAACAAATTCAAGGCCAGCCTGGGATACCCAAGGCCCTGCCTCAAAAAATAGGAAAGAAAAGACACCACAAGATACGTTTTAACACGGACCTATACTTAACAGGAAGAAAGTAAAGACAGGGAGCTGATATACAAAATGAAATGTAGGTGTCAGGGTTCTTGTATGTTCAGGTTCAAAAAACAGTAATGGGGGCTGGAGAGATGGCTCAGTGGTTAAGAACACTGGCTGTTCTTGCAGAAGACCTGGGTTCAAATCCCAGCACCCACATGGCAGCTAACAACTGTCCGTAATTCCAGTTCCAGAGATCTGACAGCCTCTTCTGTCCTCCGTGGGCATTGCATGACACGGGTGCACTTACCTACATGCAGGCAATACACGCATACACATAAAATAAAAATAAATAAAATCTTTAAAATAAAACAAAAAAAAAACCCCAAAAAACCCTAGTAATGATTATCTTAGATTATCTAGGTGGTCCCTAAGTCCAAACCAGGTGGCCTAATAAAAGAAAGGAGTGGAGATTTAGTAGAAAGAGAGTGGCGTCAATGTGACCAGAGTGGCAGAGATTACAGTCACATGGCCACCAGTCAAAGGATGCCAGAAGCTCAAGAAGCCAAGGTATGGGTCAACTACCAGGGCCCTGAGAGAGCGCTGCCCCGCCAGCACCTTGCTTTCAGCTCAGCAATAATGGCTTCAGATTACTGCCAGCACTGTGAGAGATTACATTTCTACTGCTTTGAGTTACCCAGGGCGTGTTTGGTATAGTAGTCATGAGAAACTAAGACATGTAGATAGGGATAGAGGTGTCATATGGCTGACTGTCAGGGTCATTGATCATCCAAGGAAATAATTTAGCTGGATCCATGGGTCTGCTGTTTTGGAATGGCCTGATTGACAGGCTGACCTTCCCAGATAAAAATGGGGATAGAGGTTGGTGATAACTAAGTGCCTACATGTATGAATCCCTGGTTCAATTCCCAGTTTAAAAAAAGGAAGAAAAAGAACCTGTGCATGGTGTCCTGGAGGGCACAGAGGTGGAATGACAGAGAACACTGGTACCATACCTTGCCTCTCCTGTCTGAGACTCCATCTGATTAACCCAAGATTTGTAAATATCCACAGGGTCAGTTTTGATGTTGAGAGATTTGTCATCCATGATCTCCTTCACAACAGGGGCCAAAATCTGTCGAAGGGCATTCTGGCCTCGGGCACCACGGTTGAAACTTACAACCATCTTAATAACAGTAGGATTTCCTGTCACAATCTCTTGAATCTGATCCACTTTTGACCTATAAAGACATAAGGCACAAATTAATTTTATACTAATCTCAGAATCAATTTAAAGACTATTTTCTGAAAACAGGTCAAGTTTTCCTCTGGAAATGTTTCCCAACACTCACAGGACCTTCTGTCGGCTGTGTACTCAGCTGTGGAATTTACAATTGGAACTTTCACATCTAGACCAGTATCTTTTTTTTGGTGTTTTTTTTGAGACAGGGTCTCCTTGTAGCCCCAGCTGGCCTGGAACTTGCTATGTAGACCAGGCTGGCCTCAAACTCACAAAGATCCACCAGCCTTTGCCTCCCAGGGCTAGGATTATAGAAATGTGCCACCATATGTCTAAAACTAATTTGACAAAAAAAGTCAATAAAATTTAGAAAAAAGAAAATATTTTTAAATGTGATAAACAAAAACAAAAAAAACCCCAAAACAAACTAATTTGACAAATTTCTGATTCATCCCCCTCTCAAGAAATAGCAGTACTTCCAAGTATTTCATTTACGATTAAAAGGTCTTTCATGTCTCATGATAAATGGTAAACTGGACAGGGATGGAGAAATGGACACAGTAGATATGGTAATGCTTCACCAGACTCTGGTTGTCAAGACTTTAATTAACTAAAGTAATTAATTCTATTAACTTTTAATCTCCTGCCTCAACCTCTGGAGTGCTGGGATTACAAAATTGTATCACTATGCCGGTCAGTTACCAACACTTTATGTTAGCTATTTTCCACAAAGTGGATACTTTCTTTTAGAGTATTTCTTACAAGCTGACACCAAGACAAAGCAAAAGCTGGGCTGAATCTGAGCTATAAGCATCTCCCAGGGTGGAGAGGCCTATGGTCTGCAGAAGGCTGCTCCTACTTGATCTCCTCCTGGAGCGCCGTTTTGAAGAGCCGCAGCAGCAGGTACTCCTCCCGCTGGTTGGATGCATAGTTGTAGAGTGTGAAGATTACAGAGTCCATAAACTTGGTGGATTTGTTCTGGGGCATCTGAAAAATCAGCTTGGCCAGATAGGTGGGATTGGTCTGAAATAAAACCAAGGGATAAGAAATTTCTAGATAATACAAAGGCTGATTTTTAAAAAAAAAAATGCTTGGGGCTGGAAAACGGCTCAGTGGTTACGAACACTGGCTGCTCTTACAGAGGACTGGGGTTTGGTTCCCAGCACCCACATGGGAGGCTAACAACCATCTATACCTCCAGTTCCAGGGAATCTGACACACTTTTCTGGCCTCTGCAAACATTGCACGTGCAGGTGCACTTACAAACATGCAGACAAAGCACTCATGCCCATAAAATAAAAATACATAAATCATGTTTTTCAAGCTTCAAGGATTTTAATATACAGAAGAAAATAGGACAGCCCTTCACAAGTCCCTTGGGGGACGTCAGATAAGACTTCCAGAGGGATTTGGGGCACAGTTTCCCCATGGAGAAGCATGTTAACTAAGCTTTATAACCACCAATCCCAGGAGTCACTTACTTGCAATAAATAGAACAGGTGCTGATAGGCTTCCAGTTTCTCTCTCTTCTCCTTGCTCAAAGCCTTGAGACCTCCCTTCTGCTTATTTATCATCATCATATCAGACAACTGCTCCTTATTTTTTTTGGTAAGTTTTTTACTGTGGGAAACCACATCCTATACAAAAACGAACACAGATGAAAAGTTTTTCAGGGCAGAAACTATGGGCATTGTAAAAAGGGCTTCCACACTTGTATCCTTGCATGTTCTGTAATGGCCAATCCCCATTAAACCACTCCATTTTATAGAATAGTGTCTACTTTCAATATCTCAATCAGTTCCATGCCTACTGACACTGTACTATAAAGAATGTGGCCCATTGGTTTTTCCATGTAGACTCAGAAAGGAAAAAAACTCTACAGACTTTATTATTTATTTATTTTTTGTCTTTTTGAGACAGGGTCTCCCTGTAGCCCCAGCTGCCCTGGAACTCACTATGTAGACCAGGTTGGCCTCGAAATCACAAAGAGCTGCCTGTCTCTGCCTCCCAAGTGCAGGGATTAAAGGCGCGTTGCCACCACACCTGGTGGAATTTATCTTAACGAGGCCTTTTTTATTTTCCTTTTTTGAGACAGGGTCTCATGTGGTTGAGGGCTGGCTTCCAACTCACTGCAGCTACAGATGATCTGAACTGATTCTCTTGTTTCCATCTCACCAGTTAGTGCAAGGATTAAAGGCATGCACCACAATGGTCAATTTATGCAGTGCTCAGGACCAAAACCAGGGCTTCATTCATTCTAGGCAGGTACTCTTACCAACTGAGTTACATCCCCAGCTCTGAAAAACATATCTTGAGGGGTAGGAATATAGCTCAGTAGTAGAGTGCTTACCTAGCATGCCCAATACCCTGGGTTTAATCCCTAGCACCACAATAAACAAACAAATATACACATATAAATAAATAAACTCTTTAGCTGTACATGGTATTACTTGCCTGTAACCCTAGCTACTCAAGAGGCTGGGGCAAGATAAAAAATTTGAGTCCAAGTCAGGTGTGGTGGTGACTGCTCTTAATCCCAGCACTCAGGAGGCAGAGGCAGGTGGATCTCTGTAAGTTCAAGGCCAGCCTGGTCTATATAGTCAGTTCTAGGCCAGCTGGAGCTACAGAAAGACCCTGTCTCAAAAACAACAACAAATTTGAGTCCAGCCTAGACAACCTTTTGAGAAACTGTCTCTAAATAAAATTTACCAAAAAAAGGGCTGGGTATTTGCTCAATGGAGGAGTGCTTGCCTAGCATGCATGAAGTCCTGGTTCAACCCTCCGTACAAACAAACAACCTGAATGCTGTTGATATCTTAAAAGTTCAAAAAGTGGACTGGTGAGATGGCTCAGCAGGTAAATGTGCCTACTGTCAAGCCTTACACCCTGAGTTTGATCCCTGGAACTCACAAGGTGGATGGAAATAACCACCCCTGTAAGTTGTCCTCTGACCTCCACACGTGTGCCATGTGCTGCCCCTGCCCCTATAAATAAATTTAAAGGGGGAAAAAGGCCTAAAGTCTAAAATTCCCAAAGTTCAAAATTCTAAAAGACAAAAATCACCATAATAAAATTCTGGGAAAATAAATTAGCTGGGCATGGTGGTGTGAGACTATAGTCTTTTTTTAAAAACATTTTAAAATTTTTTATTTATTATTATTTTTTTATTTTATGTCTATGAGTGTTATGCCTGCATGTGGGTAATGCAATGCTTACAGAGAACAGAAGAGGCTGTCAGATCCCCCGGAACTGGAGTTACAGGCAGTTGTTAGCTGCCATGTGGGTGCTAGGATTCGAACCCAAGTCTTTTGCAGGAACACTCAGTGTTCTTAACCATCTCTTCAGCCCCAGGGCTATAGTCTTAGCTACTTGGAGGATGAGGACTCCCTTGAACAAACAGTTGCACAGTAAGACCTCCTCTTAAAATAAACAAAAAAGTCTTAAATACATTTAGCCTTAACTGCAATGTTATTTACAATAAAAACTTAGAAAACAATCCAAGTGACAAATAATAAGGGGACAAATGAGCTAATTCCTAATACAACTTGTATATAAAATATCTATGGGGCTGGCAAGAAATCACAGTAGGTAAAGGCACTCACTGCCAAACATGACAACCTGAGTTCGATCCCCAGGACCCACATAGTGGAAGGATAGAACTGATTCCTGCGAGCTGTCTACCACCCTCCCACATACATATATGTACACAGCAAACGAATAAATAAATGCTAAAAAATAACTAAAAGTACTTATGGTGACTTATCACATGCAAAAAGTTTGATGTAGGACATAAAATGATTGTAGGTGGAATAAGGGAGAAGCAGCTGAGAATATAGCCTTCATGTTCCCTGTTAAGTAGGAAGTGGGGCTGGAGAGGTGGCTCAGTGTTGAAGAGCACTGGCTGCTTGCAGAGGACCCGGGTTCAGTTCCCAGTACCTACATGGCAGCTAACAACTATCTGTAAACCCCAGTTCCAAGGGATTCAATGTCCTCTTCTGGCAGGCATTGCATGACACAGGTGCACTTACATGCATGCAGGCAATATACACATACACAAAAATAAAAATAGATTAAAAAAGAAGTGGGCAGCAGGACCCATAAGGCAGCATGAAGAGCTTCATGCGCCACTTGGCCATACCTGCAGTGTGATCTTGTTCTTCACCAGCAGTCCAATTTTGATATCCATGAGATTGAGGTCATTCTCCAGCTGTTGATTGGAACGAATGAGGGTGATAACTTCCTCCCTCAACTTCATAAGATCAAGTTCCTCCTGAAAGTCTTGGTCACTTTGATCCAGGAGATGGACAAACTTTCGGACCACAATCATAGGAGGATCCTCAGCATTGACTGACCAAAAAGAAAAAAAAAAAAAAAAAAAGCATCAGACAAAGAACCGAGTTACTAGGAAATGTTCTAAGTCTGGGCAAGGATCAGCACTGTCTTAAGAAAGTTCTAGTGACACATAAGATATTAACACTTATATCTAAGATGTGCTAAGATGACTATCAAATGCAGTCTCGGTTGTGTTATTGCTATGTTACCACAGAGGCTAATATAGCATACAGCAAAACATGTAGCCACATGTTAGCAAACAGGCTTAAATTACAAGTGGCACCCTTCCCTGTAAGCCTTGCCTTCAGGACAACCAAAGAGATCTGTGGAGTGCCCAGGACCTGAGGGCTCCCAAGCACTGCCTCAACTCTTCACTGCTGAGCCACAGTTACTCACTGAGTGTCTTGTAGTCATCACGAGCTTTGTTTGCCCGAATGAAAGCTTGGATTTTGATAATGTCATTTATCTAAGGAAGAAAGAAGACATTCCTTTACTTACTTACCCACCAGATACACTGCAGAACCAGTTTGACCAGCCCGCTTTACCTAAGGGTACTTACATGGTCTCTGAAATATTGTAAGCGATCTCTATAGCGCTTTCTAGCTTGATGCATCCTTGCCAGGGACTGAATCTGTGGAAAAGGAATCCTGGAACTTAGAAGAGTCCTTCATCTCAACACGTCACATTTCCCCCACATGGAGAACCCTGCTCAGGCTACCATACCTTCACAACTTCGTCTTTATGGGAGTGCAGGTAAGCTAATCGATCTTGATATGCCTTCTTCTGTTTGTAGCCTCTCCACTGTGACTAAAGGCATCAAATAGTATATATGGCATTATTTCCCAAGAAACAACTCACCTTGCTATATTCCCCAAACACAAAGCTTCACACTGAAGTTTTCAAAGGAACACAGATCACACAACTACCAGGAGAACCCAATGGCTAATTCTTCCACTTTCCTGATATTAGCACAATGCTGTACATAGTCCGGTTTGTTTTTTCTGTACTGGGGATTGAATCTAGGGCCTTATGTATGCCATGCCAGCGCTCTACCACTGAGCTGTATCGTCAGCCCACACTGTACACATTTTAAAATGCCATCACACAGATTCACTTATTGGTTATCCTTACTTTTATGAGGTAAGGAAGATACACATTAGTATCCTCATTTCACAGATAAGGAAACTTACGAGAGATCTGCTATAACTGGCAGCAACAGAGCCATAATTCCTAATTCAATTCTTTCTGTGATGTTGTGTTGTTCTGTCCTCGAAGCAGAGCCTATTATTTCTATCAAGGTTCAAATTTTACCCAGAGACAGTGCAAGAAAACAGGAAGAGGTGCTCCCAAAATGTCTCTGTGCCACTATTAACAACCATGAGTCACAAGTGGGAGGTCACCATCCAAAGAAAGACGAGAAAGGAGGTCAGAAGAAGCACACTACCACACTCAATTTTATGGCTGACAGTTTATTTCCCCTGCTCTAGAAGTCCACTTGCTCTGTGAAGTACCTGAATACAGGTGATTGCAGGGATCTGTTTCTTTAGGAAGTTCATCCTGGATCGGAATTCCTGTCGAACTAAGTAACCTCGGCAACAGGCTTGCAGCTTGGTGATCAAGCCTTCATTGGCCAGCCAAAGCTGTTCTCTGTTATATGCAGCAGTCACCCCAGAGATGGAACTCTGAAAAAGTATTTGGTCACATTTAGAGACATGAGAATGGATACAAAGTATCACCCAGAGCACACAAGCTGACCATAACTATTCCTCCATCTATACTAGACCTTTAGCTGAGCAATGTGGTTTCCAGGGCCAGGCTAATCTTTTCATTCATTCCGTACTTCCTATACCCTTCCACCCATCCCACTGGTGCATGGTGCTAGCCAAGAGCATCCCCATGTACAATGAAGGCTCTTACTCAGCAACATAGAGGGTTTGGATCGTTACTGCAAGTGATGGAGAATCGGACTTATTTATTTTTCAGACTCTCAAATGCTGAGATTAAAGTTATTTAAGTATGCACAGACACACACATGCGACTGGCTGGAGAAGTTTTTTGTTTTGGTTTGGTTTGTCTTCTTGAGACAGGGTCTCCCTGTAGCCCCAGCTGGCCTGGATAGAACTATGTAGACCAGGCTGGGTTCTCACGGAGATCCACCTACTTTCTGCCTCCCAAATGTTGGGATTAAAGTCATGTGCCATAACACCTGGCTAAGGAGAATTTTTAAAAATTTTAGTTGTATTTTATGTGTATGAGTATTTCACCCACATGTATGTAAATGTCATGCAATGCCCTTGGAAGCCAAAAGAGGGCATCAAATTCTCTGGAACAGGAATTTTGTATAGTTGTTAGCCATCATGTGAATCCTGAGAACCGAACCTGGGTCCTCTGCAAGAGTAATCACTGCTTTTAATCAGTGAGCCACCTCTCCAGTCACTATTGGAGAATTTTCAAGCAGCTATGTGAAGTATAATTCTGCTGTTGCATTCCAACTAAGAGGCCCTTAGCTGGAATGCCTCTGGTGAACAAGGGCAGCAACAGAGAGAATGTTTAAGAACATCTGTTTGCCTATCTAATATGCCTATTTTCCCTTTCTTGGTATTAGAGACTTATTTTTTTTCTGGGTACCAACATGATGTACATCAAAAGCGATCTTCTCTAAGCAAACACAGTGTGGTAAGTCCTTTGAGAAAGCTAAGGAGGGAGAGAGGTGCGAGCACACTCTGCTGCTTTTCTTTTCCCTGCCTCCTGCCTGGACCGCTACCTTGATGGTCAAGAGTTCCAAGCTATCATTGGGGATGAACTTGAGAATGGAAACCATGTACTAAGAATGACAGGGCATAAAGGCTGAAGGCTACTGGAACAGCTGATGTCATGTTACCTTCCCTGAGTATTGAGGTATAGACTTATCTTCTCTGAGAGGAACAAAATAAAATGCAACAAAAATCCTCACACACTATTTCAGTTTCTTTTCTTCTATCAAGCTGTGTCTGAGGTATCTGCTGGACTTCTAGACTGCAAATGGAAGGGGAAACTTGAAGGTATGGGAAAAGGCTGAAGTGTGGCGGCACAGATCTCAGAGTCACCGCACAAAGGAGAGAGCTAGAGCCACAGGCTTGAATGAGATCACTGTCATGTTATTGCCTGATGCCTGATGCCATCCTCCCAGTTCCTTACAAGACTTGAAGGGAGAGGAAGGACAGAATAGGGACAGAAGAGGGCCAACGGCAAGTTGGGCAGAAGCAGAGGAAAGGAAGGTAGCAAGAGAGATAAAAGGGGCATTCAGAAGCAGGAGAGCTAGAGTGAATGGCACTGGAGAAACCAAAAGAATTGAGGGCTTGCTTCAAAGATTTCCAAAATACATTTGGCAATTAAAAGGTTATTGATGAATTATAAAAGAGCTTTTACGAAAGGAGAAGCTAGACAGAAAGCCATGTTGTTGTGAGCCAAGAAGTGAATGGTAACAGAGAATAAATTAGGGACAGACTAACTTTCAAGGCCCTTAGCAAAGACAGAGTATGAATGTGAGGTCAAATCAGGGAAATCCCATGGGCATTAATTTTTTTCTTCCTGTAAGGTAAGAAACAGATGATTATCTATGTAGGCTGATACTCAAAAGTATAACCCTTGGGCCAGCAGCAACAGCACTGCCTGGGGACTTGCCAGAAATATGGATTCCCAGACGCTGCCTTAGACTCACGGGATCCAAATCTCCATGCACACACACATTAAATTCAGACAAGTATAATAATGGAAAATTTGAGAAGAGGAAGAGCGAAAGCTTGCAAGGAAGAGGAGAGGATGGTGTCAGTCAGTAATATGACTCTGAGCTTCAGAAAGGAGAGATTTCCCTCCAGAGAGAAAATGATGAAGGATTAAGTGAGTATCTGGTAAAATAAAATGTGCAAAGTAAGGATGGGAGGTGCTGTAATTGGTGACCACTGTTTTTTTCCAAGAGTAGGTAAGAGATTAAGTCTTGTGCTGAAAGTAAAGGAACATCACTCTCCTGCCTAAAATTCTTAGGTACAAATGCAAAATGATATCTAAGCCTGGGTATGTCTACAGAGGGTAAAGAGATTCTCAAAATTGTGTGTGACCCAACAAGTGTCAGAAATCACTGCTCCAAGATGTAGCCTGCACAGGTCTCCCTCGCTGCCACATCTGCTACTGCACCTGCCACACACTAATGGACAGTATGTCTGTTTATATTTCCTTAAATGGTCCTTGTTTTTCCAATGCTTAGTGACTTTCCACACTGTGTGCTTTCTGTCCAGAAGTTTTTCCTCTCTTACCTACAAAGATGTCACTTAGGCTGTCTTCCTCCAGGACAGACTTAAAATTTCCCTTAACATTTCCATGACTGTTATTATGTTGGAACCCCCACCTCTCTGCCTACACTCAGACTCTGTTCTGGGCCTGCTGTTTTCACAACACTGAACAGCCAGGATGGTTCCTCTAAGTTTTTGGGGGATTTTTGTCTGATTGTTTGTTTTTTAAAATAACCAGTTTATTTCACTGAACTATATAGTTCAGATGCTTTCAAATTTAGATTTCATCATCTCCCAAATCACTGAAACACAATTAATCTAAAATAATTCATTACCCAGCCTATATTTGAGTCCAGGACTACTGACCATAAGCCCTGCTGCTTAGAACCAATCCTAGTCCTGAAATACTTTCTCTCAGAGTTTTCTTTATGTGAAGAAGGCTGGCCTACCTGGATCTCTTCCCGAGAAAGCTGCATAGAATTCTGCACAAAGTCTGGAGGCTCCTCCCATCCTCCTTCTTGGGTCTCCAGATTGTGGTAATAATAATATCCGCCTTTCACCCAGTGCTTTACCCACTTGCTGTTATTGTCTCCTGGTAGTAAATAAAGGAGAGATGAAAGAAACCCAGAGCCACACTCCTCACATTTATACGTCCAATACTATAGGATTCTGGTCAAGATTAACCTAAATGAAGAACATACCCCAAACCTGCTCCTTGATAGTAAAGGAGCATCCTGTATGCCTACTAAACTGTGGCTATGTAATGTCATGTATGTCTGTATTACAAAAATAAAATATGTAGGAGGTAAAATTATAGAATTAATCAGACAAACCTTTTCTTTCCCAAGCCTATGTCTAAGACCTGCATGTCAGAAAACTATTCTGATAAAGGATTTGTAACCAGCTGGGTGTGATGGCATATGCCTTTAATTCCAGCACTCCGAAGGTTCAGCGTCTTAGTTAAGAAACGAGAAGGTCATGAAACTGTCTCTGCTATGAATTTCTTTCAACTTCCCACAGGCTTAGAGAATCAGAGCTATTGACATCCTAATGAAAGGTAAACAAATATTTCTACCCCTTCCACATTCTCATACCCTTGATCTAATTAACACAGTTGTCTACAAGGGAGGAAAAAAAGATCATGTTTCAAAATGTAGGATACTACCTCCTTTAAAATGAGCCAAAACACTCACTAAAATACCTTTCCTTGCAGTCTGCCCCTCACATCCTCAAGTGCTTAGCCTCAGGCACATATTTAGTTTCCTATAGCCCCACCTGCTGCCAGTCTTTTCTTCTTGGCATCAGCAAGGTCACTCTGGTATGTTTCCCCACATTCAGGGATGACTCCATATAAGCCGACATCCGGAGAACGAAGGGCACTCAGGGTTCTGCCAACATCACCACTTTCAACGGCTTCATTGATGGCAAAGATTCCCAAGGCAACTATCTCAGAAGACAATTGGTAATGTAATTGTTAATGTCTACAGTCACACACAACTTCACCCACCTATACCTACTGGCTACCTATCCTCCTATACCCCCAGATTGGTCAAGATGACTATCAAGACATGGGGCACCTCACCACTCTCACCCTCCACCCAAACATAAATAAAACAATGAACATGGATACATACACTTCTGTGCTTCTTGGGTGTCTTTGTTAGACTGCCAGATTCCACCTTGAATTTCATCCAACCATAACACAGCTGACTCATCCTGGGTTTCCTACATATTATTAAAAGTAAAACAAAAATAGAGTCATGAGATCAGGGTACATGTGATGAAGGGGCTTCTGAGACTCAGATATGGAAAATGAGGCTCCATACATGAGTCTTGTGGACTAATTAAATGGAAAAGGCTAGGTCTCAAAAAAAACTGGCACAAGCTAAAAGGGAAACGACTCAGATACAAGCAAAGGCTGTATGAAGATGAATCAGGTGGTTCAAGAAGTCAAGAGCAGCAAGAAGGTTATACTGGGAAGGTATCCAGGGACTTATACAGTATGACAAAGGCCAGAGCACATATACTAATATACACCACTTAATCGGAGAACCTCCTTTGCTCATGATACACAGAGGCACTTAAAAACTCTCCATGACTACTAATGCTTTTAAGACTGTCAAGTCTTACTTCAACCAGAACCTTTTAATTATTAAATTTAAAGCCTGGAGTCACTGTCACTGCAGGTGCTCTGAACTTTCACCAGATCATATTCTAAAATGTTAATTTTAAATGAGTTGCTGGAAATTTAAAAATGTATTTTTATACAAAAGCATTATAATGAACAGTGAAGAGATAGCCAACAAAACCCTCATAGTCTGAATGAACTACTGGTGACAGAGGTGATGTAGAAGTGGCTTGCTTCCTGCTTCCCATAGCTAAAACTTTCTTTTGGGGGAGGGGGCTCTTTTTTTGAGACAGGGTCACCCTGCAGCCTCAGCTGACCTGGAACTCACTATGTAGACCAGGCTGGCCTCAAACTCACAGAGATCTGCCTGCCTCTGCCTCCCAAGTTCTGGGATTAAAAGCGTGCGCCACCATGCCCGGCTTATTATTTTTATGTATATAAGTGTATCGCTTGCATGTAGGTAGGTGCACCACAATGCCCACAGAGGTCAGAAGAAGGTGTTAGAGGCCCTGGAACTGGAGTTACAGATGGCCTTTAGCCACCATGTGGGTGCTGGGAATTGAAACCACATCCTCTGCAAGAGTAGTCACTGCTCTTAACTGCTGAGCTATCTCTCCAACCCCCATAGCTAAAATTTTAAAGTTAACATACAAAGGGTTTCAAAATGGCATTTTCATACACACACACGTCATTTTGCTTTGTTCGTCTTCCTTCCCCATCCTCTCTGGCCTTCTATTGCTAGTTCCCTACTTCCCCTCAAATATCCCCCCTTCTGCTTCATGTCACATGAATTACATACCTCACCCAAGATCTCTTCACTCTCATGGTCCTCTTTCTACTTTCAACATACGTGCACACACCCTTAACATTTTTATTTATTTTATTTTTCCAGAGTTATTTTTAATTATATGTCTGTGGGGGAGGGGTGAGCTGGTGGTGTACACATGAGTGCAGTTGCTCACAGAGGCCAGAAGAGGGCACTGATCCCCTGGAGCTGGAGCTTTAAGTGGTTGTGAGCAACGTGATGTAGAACTCTGATCCTCTGCAGAAGTATGTACTCCTAGTCATTGAGCCATCTCTCCAGTCTCCCACATATATAAATTTAAATCTAGAGTCCACATATGAAGAAAGCATGTAGCTTTTGTTTGGCCTATTATGTTCAACATATTGATCTTCGATTACATCTACTTTCCTGTGAATGTTATTTCATTTTTCTTTATGGCTGAATAAAAGTTCGCTGTGTATATCTACCACAATTTCTTTATCCATTCATCTACAAGCATGGTGGTTCATACCCAGAATCCCAGCACTCCAGAGGTAAAGACAGGATTAGGAATTCAAAGCCAGCCTAGCAAGTTTGAGAAAATGTGGGCTACAGGAGACCCTGTTTCAAAAAAACAAAACAAAGGGAAGAAAAGAAAAGAAAAAAGAAAAAAGATTTCAATTTTCAAGAATCTGGCCATTATCCTCTGATTCAGAAAAGCAGTTTTGGGATTAGCTGCCACAGTTATTGGTAGTTAGCACAACAGTGTCTATATCCTGTCAGTGTGAGAGCCAAGAGTTGGAAGCTACGGCAGATACACAGTTAGAGTTCAGTAGTCGGGTGTAGGTTATATAAGATGAATGCCCCAAACAATAAGAGTCCTTTGTTAAGATGTCTCTATGGTTTGGGATGTAGCTCATTGGTAGAGTGCTTGCCTAGCCTAGCATGCACAAAGCCCTGGGTTCAATTCCCAGTACCACACAAACGGTATAGTGGCACATGCCTGTAATCTCAGCACTTGGGAGGTAGAGAGGCAGGAGGGTCAGAAGTTCAAAGTCATCCTCTGGTACACAGCAGTACCCAGGCTGGTGCCAGCCTGGGATGCATGAAACTGTTTAAATAAATAAATAAATAAATAAATAAACCAAAAAAACCACAAAAACATAACAAAACAACAAAAAAGATGTCTCCATGGTTTTAATAGAAAGCATCAGTTCAGGAGACTAACAGACAATCTTCCCCAGAAAAGGCAAGACACTTTGGATTTTTAAATGGCCAAGTTGTGAGAGTCATGTTCATGCGGTTCTTGGTAAATCTTAACAAACTTAACATGCTCCTGAGACTTGAGCTAACAGCAACTGGGGTAGACTGCAACTCAAAAATCCATTTAGGGCTGGGGGATTATGGTTCAGTGGTAGAGTGTGCCCAGTAGGCAGGAGGCCTGGGTTCTATCTCCAGCACTATAAAAAGTTAAATCACAAAGTTCCTGGGCACAGTGGCATATACTTTTAATCCCAGTGTTCAGGAGGTAGAGGTAGGTGGATCTCTTCAAAATGGTGGCCCAGCCTGGACTACATTGTGAGTTCCAGGCCAGCCAGGGCTACAGGGAGATCTTATCTCTAAAATAAAATAAAATAAACCAAACAAATTTTAAAAATTAAAAATCCATGTAGACAGCTTGATATAAACACAATCTACTTAGGCCCCAATAAGGCAGAATAAAAAATCTGATCAAGCACTACAACTGCATGGTCAGATGAAGCAGTTTCTGGGCCTTAGAGCAGAGTGGAAAGTTTCTCTGCCCAACAGCTGGAGCCACAAAACCCTTAGGGGACACTTGGCTTTCCTCCCACTTTACTGTAGAGATCAGCAGAACACCTTGCCCCACCCAGTGAAGCAGACCAACCTCTGAAATTTAGGGCATGCTCCTGAGATGGGGCCCAAAAAAGGCATTTAAAATTGATACAAGTGGCTTTTCTCAAATGTGTAGTTTTACAAAGAAAGATCACTTAGCTGAATAGTGACAGATGCTGACCCTGTCACAGTCTTAAGAAATTCAGTCTTAGCCAGGTGTGGTGGTGCACACCTTTATTCCCAGCACTTGGGAGGCGGAGGCAGGTGGCTCTGTGAGTTCCAGGCCAGCCTGGTCTACATAGTGAGTTCTAGGCCAGCTGGGGCTACTGGGAGACCCTGTCTCAAAAAGACCTAAAAAAAAAAAAAAAAAAAAAAAAATTCACATTCTTATGAAAAAAAGAAAAAAAAAACAAAAAAAGAAAGAACTCACTAGGGCAGGGGGGGGTTCTGGGGGGCCCCGTTTCAAAAAAAACCAAAAAAAAAAAAAAAAAAAAAAGAAATTCACAGTCTTATGAAAAGAAGAAGAGTAAACAGATAAACAGAATGAAGACGCAAACCACTGGGAGGCTGTGCACCTAGCACCTTCCTACCACCAGGCACTTTCTTTTACCGAAAATAGAAAATGACCACACAATTCTCTCCAGTTCTCAAAATAAGTCCTGGAAATGCTAAACAATAATTCCAATGTGAAGTTACAATGAGTCAGCCACAGGCTTGTGACCATGAAAATTGAGAAGTCAATGGCAGGAAGGCTGAACGCCCAAGTGTCCAAGAAAAACAGCCTAAAAATCCTTGCATCAGAGAAACAGAAGCATTTCCATAGAATCAAGCCATTTTTGGTGTGCTGTTAAGCTGACCTCACACAGAATAATCTGAGCAGAATCTGCTATCAGCAAAGCCTGGAGGCTGAGCACAACCTCCCCTATATTGGAAGAGGCAGAGCTTTGCAAGAATTTTGACCATTCACAATCCTGGCTCTCCTGCCCCTTTCAAACATACTCCTATATGTTTGAAAGCAAGAGTTGAACTATAAAAGAAAATGAGAACAAATGGGTGTGTCAGGGAAACACAACATAGAAATAAATACCCCTCCAATTGTAGGAGAGACGACACCCATCACCTCATTCTAGTGTAAACAAAGTTTTTATAGTTCCAAATGAAGAAGAGATGACAAAATTCAAACCTTCCTAGTCAAGACAGGCATGATGGCATCATTAATCCCAGTACTCAGGAGGCAGAGGCAGGCAGATCTCTGAGCTCTAGACCAACGTGGTCTAAATAGTGTGTTCCAGGCCAGCCAGGGCTATATATTGACACCCTGTCTCAAAAAACCAAATCCCAGAACAAAACCCAATTAAAATGGAGTGGATGATGACTGCAGTTCAAAGGGGCAAAGAAGTCACAAAGGGGCAAAGTCACAAAGCAGTTGAAACGGGCAAAGAAGTCACAAAGTCACAAAGTGCACATTCACACTCTTCTTCAAACTGCCTTTACTGCCTCTCCTTCATTATGTGGCATGGTTAGCATGTGTGACCATATATAACCACAGGCACACACACATACATGTATAAACACACACATAATAATCTATACAACATATTTATCAACTATACAACACAAGCACCAGCTACATCACAGTAAAGCAGAGTCATTATAAGCCCCGCTGATAAAAGTGTTAATCCTTCAACTGCTATATAGGGAAAGCTCAGGGGAAGTGATAGATTAGGACTACAGTGGCTCAGGTTGAGAGGGCCAGGAAAGCAGCCATGTACTAGAAAGCATTACAGTATCTTTTAAAAATTTTTACTTAATAAGAGGGCATGCTGGCAGGCAGATCTCTGTGAGATTGAGACCAGCCTGGTTTACTCACCAAGTTCTATGCCAGCTGGGGCAAAGGAAGAACTTGTCTCAACAAAAAAAGGTGGGAGGTGGGATGTGGGGTGGAGAGATGGCTCAGTGGTTAAGAACACTTGCTGTTCT